AGTGATAGAATCAAAATTATANAAAAAAAAAATCATCTAAAATACCAAAATTACCCTATATAAACTCCAAACAGTCTTTCTAAATAAAATTTGATTAAAATTAGAGCTGATTAAAATTTATTTTTCTACATATTAAAATTTGGGTTGATTAAAATTTGTTTTTCTACATATTAAATTTGAGTCGATTAAAATTTGATTCGAGCTGATTAAATTTTATTTTTTTACTTATTAAAATTTGAGCCGATTTGAGCTCAATTTGGGCTGCTAGCGCTAATTAAAATTCAATTCGAGCCAATAAAATTTGTATTTTTTTTACGTATTAAAATTTGGGCCAATTAAATTCGATTCAAGCTGATTAAATTTTTTTTTATGTATTAAAATTTGAGTCGATTTAAATTTATATTTTTTTTGGTATCAAAATTTGGGTTGGTTAAAATTCAATTGGAGCCGATTAAAAACGAATTTTAATCGGTTCAAATTTTAATACGTAAAAAAATATAATTTTTAATCAACTCGAATTTTAATACGCAAAAAAATAAATTTTTAATTTTTAATTAGTTCGAATCGAGTTTTAATTAGTCCATAATTTAATATATAAAAAAATTCAGGAAACAGGAGAAGTCTTGAAGATATGCGTATCTAAATGTGGTGTGGATGAAGTTTTTTTTTAAATATATCATAGGCAATTTAGAAAAATTGCATTCTAGTTAACACCATTAATTTGATAGGGGGTGTGAATAATGTTTTAGATAGTAAAATGGGTCTCATTGAAGATATACCTATCTAGAGGGGTGTCAATGATTAAAAAAAAAAAAATTTGATAATTACCCAAATTTCTAATTTTTTTTTATCATTATAGAAAAATATACTCAAGACTGTAATTATGAAGTGGTTAGATAATAGTTGCAAATATAAAATAATAGTCTTTTACAGATTCCTTCTCATTTCCTCTTATTTGGCCTGAACCTTCAAAGGGTTTCATGGATATCAGCACTCGGTTGAAAGGTGTTCAAAAACTCAATGTTGAGTACTTGGTGATGTCTTAGACATTTATAACATATCATATGCTATATAGATTTTTATACACTATGTTGTATTTTGTTCTTGAATTCAAAAATATAGTTTGTACTTTGTAGTGATGGGTATAATGTTGTTAGGGTTTGTGCAATTCAAGTTTTTTTAGGGGGTTGGAGCAGGCAGGGGATTTTTATATTTCTAAGAACTTTGATGTGGACAAAAGGGTTTCAATCGACGTCTTAATGTGAGAGGAAGGAGCCCATCACTATAATTACATTTGATCAACATTGGATTTGAGGAGTAAAAACATTGGGCATTTGTAATTAAGTACTCTTCAACAAGGATTAAAATATCGTTTTGAAATAGTCGAAACATCCGAAACGTTTTCATTTTCAATAAGACCGAAACGAGTCAGTGATAGAATCAAAATTATAATACTTCGAGGTGTTCTATTATGTTTCCATGGATTAAAATATTGTTTAGAAACAGTCAAAACATCTGAAATGTTCCTGTTTTCGAGGAGATTGAAACGAATCAGTGATGAAATTAAAATTCTAATACTTAGAGGTGTTCCGTAATATTTCGAAATATTTTGTTATATTTCAATGCATTTGCATAATTATTTTGGAATGTTTCAAGGTATTTTAAGATATTTTGGTATATTTCGACCAATGTTTTGAAAAAATAATTCTAAAATTTTTTATTTTTTTTTATCATATTTTTGAAACGGGTTGAAACATTTATGATGTCGAAACGCTTTTTGTTTCCTAGGTGACCAAAATAATGCACCGAAACGAAATTTGATTATTGGATGTGTCGAAATGTTTTGCTATATTTCAATGCATTTGCACAATTATTATGGAATGTTTCAAGGTATTTCAAGATATTTTGTTATATTTCGACCAATGTTTTAAAAAAATAATTATTAAATTTTTTATTTTTTTCATTCTGTTTTGAAATTAGTCGAAATTTTTTCGAAATATGTCGAAACATTTTCGAAACAATACACCGGAATAAAATTTTGATCTTTGCTTTGCAAAAAAAAAAAGTGACCCCAAGCGTCAAGTTAGATCAATTATTAGTTGAGAGTCCCTTTAATTAATTTATTAGTGGAAGTTCAAAAATTTGATTGCTTAAAAATTGGATCTGCTTCTTTTGAGATTTCTACTTTTCGTGTGTTTTGGGGCGTTTGTTATATCACTCTCTAATAAAAATAGTTGAGATTACACCATTATTTATAGGTTAAGTTCCCTACCAAAATACAAACTATTATCTTACTAAAATTCTAAAAGAGTTTCATAATCAAACTCTTAAACTCATATACTATTAAAACTCTATAATAACTCTCTAATCAAACTCTAACTAATACTCCTAATCAAACAAATATTCCCTAACTAATATAATAATAGTTAAAACAAATAATGAAATTCAATTCTTCAATTTAAGTTAATTCAATTTCTTTTCGATCTCTATCAATTCTTCTCGACTAAAAAAAACTCTTTTCCAAAGAGTTGGAAGGCCAAAAGGACTCCAAAAAATCTGAAGAAGTTTGTGTTCCAAGAAAATAATATTGTCGATCTTCATACTAGAAAACNTGTTTTGGTTACCTAGGAAACGAAAATATTTTGATGTATTTTGGAAACGTTTTGACTTGTTTTGGAAACAGAATAAAAAAAATAAAAAAAATTAAGGGTCGTTTGGTAACGTTTTTGTTTTCCTGTCTTCAAAAACATAAAAAACAGAGACAATTTTTGTCTCTGTTTTGTGATAAACACCGAAACAGAAAACATCTTTGGAAGTCATTTTTGTCTATCAAATTATGAGAATAAAAACAAAAAATATGTTTGGTAACTATTTCAAGTTTTATCTTTATTTACTTTTATGGTCAAAAATATACATTACTTTTATTTTTATTTACAAAATTATAATGATTCCTAATTTATGGAAAATGAAAGAGAAGGAAAAGCAATGTTCGCAAACCACCAACCTCCAACCTCCTCCATTTTGGTTGGCACCAATTTGTTATCTCTCACAATCTCATCCCACATTGGACCTTTGTCCTTAATCATCTCCACCATGTGCACTTGCTCTTTACCCTCTTCATACCCCACCATTTAGGTTTTGGAAACACATTTCATGTTAAGAAGTAAATGAATATGAAACTAAAAAAAAAAAAACTAGGGGTCATTTTGTAACCTTTGACAATGTTGGTAAAAGAGTGAATTCCAAGACATCATAATAGAGTTTGATATTAATCTAACATATTACACACACACACATTCACACACATGTATATAAATATAATAGTGTCATAAATTTTGGAGAAAAAGCCAAGGTGACGTTGCAACACATGAATCAGAAGCAATTTATAATCATCATTTTCCCACAAGCAGATGNATTCAATTTCTTTTCGATCTCTATCAATTCTTCTCGACTAAAAAAAACTCTTTTCCAGAGAGTTGGAAGGCCAAAAGGACTCCAAAAAATCTGAAGAAGTTTGTGTTCCAAGAAAATAACATTGTCGATCTTCATACTAGAAAATAATCCCTTCATGCACTGCATCCATCACAGTTTTATCCACATACACTATTATAGATGAAGTAAACATATAAACCAATGGAGACAAAATAACAACTCCATTTGTGGTGGTATCCTTCGAAACTCCTTTAACTTCTTTTGTAAGACGATCCTCTAAGATCAACTTATCAAAAGTAATTGATGTATGATGAGGAGAACTTTTAGGCTCATCAACGGTATCTAATTTCAACTCATCATTCAATTGAATTGGAGCTTGCGGTTGTAGAGGAACTCCTTAGGGCAGAGCTTGTTTAACTATTTGTTGATGATCGATGAGTGAAGAAGATGAATCAAAAATCGAACTTGTCCGCCAAGTTCTTATTTGTGAGCTTAACTTCAAATATGGCAGCGAATTTGTGTACGCCTTTGTGTATATATTTCATTGATTTGTGGAGCGAACCCATTGATGCTTGGAGTGAATCTAGCCGCAAATCATGTGCTTCAATTCTAACGCTTAATTCAGCATTGGTAACCATTTTGAGGGAAAGAGTTGTCTTGAAAAGTTATAGAAAATTCTAGGGCCAAGATGTAATTTCAGAAACTATTGGGTCAAAATTAAAATTTTAGAAACCATTGGGGCCAAATTGTAATTTAAAAAACTTTTGGGGGGTCAAAGTGTCATTTCAAAAAATTTTGGGTTAAAAACTACAATTTCAAAAACTCTAGGGGTCAAATATGTAATTTTGGAAAGGTTTGGGGATGTTTGTATAATTTTAGTGATGTGTTGGGTTTAAACTTTTCGTGGGTTTGGGTACTGGGTTAGTGTTAAGGGGAAATAGATATTTTTTTTGTTGGACTTGATTCTACTAAGCTGGCTGATTTTTTTTTCTTTTTATAGGTTGGAGTGGGCTAACTATTTTAACTTGTGGGTTGATCCAACTTCAATAACTTATCAAGAGGTCTTCTTCATGATTAGGGCTTATGAAGCAGTTCCCTAGTCGCCAAAAGTTGACCACTGTCGAATGGTGGTTGCAAGGACTGGTTTATACCAAAGACGTTACCAGCGACAAAGTAATGAAGGAATTTTGTCTCTGATACCCAAGGATTAAAATTTTGTTTCGATGCATTGTTTTGGTTACCTAGGAAACGAAAATATTTTGATGTATTTTGGAAACGTTTTGACTTGTTTTGGAAACAGAATAAAAAAAATAAAAAAAATTAAGGGTCGTTTGGTAACGTTTTTGTTTTCCTGTCTTCAAAAACATAAAAAACAGAGACAATTTTTGTATCTGTTTTGTGATAAACACCGAAACAGAAAACATCTTTGGAAGTCATTTTTGTCTATCAAATTATGAGAATAAAAACAAAAAATATGTTTGGTAACTATTTCAAGTTTTATCTTTATTTACTTTTATGGTCAAAAATATACATTACTTTTATTTTTATTTACAAAATTATAATGATTCCTAATTTATGGAAAATGAAAGAGAAGGAAAAGCAATGTTCGCAAACCACCAACCTCCAACCTCCTCCATTTTGGTTGGCACCAATTTGTTATCTCTCACAATCTCATCCCACATTGGACCTTTGTCCTTAATCATCTCCACCATGTGCACTTGCTCTTTACCCTCTTCATACCCCACCATTTAGGTTTTGGAAACACATTTCATGTTAAGAAGTAAATGAATATGAAACTAAAAAAAAAAAAACTAGGGGTCATTTTGTAACCTTTGACAATGTTGGTAAAAGAGTGAATTCCAAGACATCATAATAGAGTTTGATATTAATCTAACATATTACACACACACACATTCACACACATGTATATAAATATAATAGTGTCATAAATTTTGGAGAAAAAGCCAAGGTGACGTTGCAACACATGAATCAGAAGCAATTTATAATCATCATTTTCCCACAAGCAGATGCCTAAAACCCATAGTCTTACATGATAATTTAGCCATAAGAAACGAACACAACATTACACTAGCATACAAACAACTTTTTGCACATAAATTCCAAGAACCTTGTACCCCCGTCACCAGTGTTATAGAAAAACCGCAAAGTGACAGAATAGAAGGTTTGGCACCCAGTTTTTTAAACTTTACCATCAGTGATGTGCATCAGACTCGATGCTGCCTTCAGACTATATAAGCATCGAGGGAAGAAGCTTTGTCCCTCATACCCGCCAACCATTGCCCTTCTCACATTCGACTCGAACACTTTTTGGTTATCCCTCAACATAGCAGCAGCATCAGGATTGAGAGGATCCTCATGATTGGGTTCCTCCACAAACAAGTGTTCCAATTAGCAAACAAATTACCAAAATGCTAGATTTATACTTTGGCTCTAGACCAGAAGAATAACAAATACCATGAACAGATGATACAAGCCATAAATTATAGTGCTTATGTTAAGGACAGGTTTCCAGTCTTCCCGAAGAATGTTAAGGAAGACATTTCCTTCCAAATCAATATTGGGATGATAAACCTGCGTAACCATCTCTTCACAACAATGAGTTACAAAACAACAAAAACTATCATCCTAGTCATATCAACAGGGCATATGCCAAAGGACGACGACAAGTTAACTCAATTGAACAACAAAAAGAATACTAGCATGTGGTAGGATATTTACAAATAAAATCTGTCATCAGCCCGAATGGTGACTTCAAAGTTCATTAGATCATCCTTGCCATTGGGGAATGAATATGCTACGTGTTTTAGGTAGGTTTAGTTCACTTATATCTACAATAGAAGGAAACAACAAAAAATGTCAATATAATACCTTTCAATATAAAATCAATATTAAAAATCAAAGATTACATAACTCTTAACATTATTGGTTGCCCTTGATTTCAGGACCAAGAAGCTCGAGAGAGAGGACCAGCTCAACCAAACTATGGTGCAGAACAGAATACGAACCCAAACACAGAACAAAATAGAACACTCACACACACAGACACACGAACTCACACATAGACACAAAGACCCTACACACCCATTCACATAAAGAAGGAAAATGAAAAAAAGAGGGGAGGTCTGTGATGGATCTGAACACAAAATAGAACACACACACATAGACACACGAATTCACACACTTACTTTGCACATCCACTCACATAAATCCAAAATTNGAGGGGAGGTCTGTGATGGATCTGAACACAAAATAGAACACACACACATAGACACACTAATTCACACACTTACTTTGCACATCCACTCACATAAATCCAAAATGTTTTAGGGGAAAATGAAAAAAGGAGGTGGTTTGTGATGGATCTTTACACAAAACACACACAAATTCTCACACAGACCACACATAAACCCATTCACATAAATCCTCAATTTTTTAGGAGAAAATGAAAAAAACAGCCCCTCTCTGTGATGTATCTGCACACAAAAAAAACATTCGCACACAAAGTCACACACAGACACCATAAAACACACAGATCTGTCCTGGTATAATCCTACATACATAGATCTATTCTAATATAATGGATACAGTTACCTTACCTTCACAACAAGGAGATCGATGGAGGAGATGGTTTTTCGTTAGGAGATCGATGGAGGAGATCTGGTTCTTCGTTAGGAGATCGAAGGGGAAACCTCTTCTTCGTCCAATCTTTTGGGCTCACGACATCGCAAGACACAGTTGTAGAGGAGAAGAGAATCGTTCATTTGAAGCTTCAGTTGTGAGAGAGACGATTGAAAATGAATGAAAAAATACACAAAAGCTCCATATTTATACTATCATAAAAATAGTGCTATTTTGTTGCTAACAGGAGTCGAAGTTGAGACTTCATTAATATCAATCCTGTGTGTTTTGTGTGTTTCCTGAAACACAAATTTTCTGTTCCCATTTTTTTGTTTTTGTCTCCAAAACAACTTATATAAAACAAAAACAAAAACAGTAACCAAACATATTTTTGTTTTCATTTTTGACAAAAACAATTACCAAACAACTCTTTAAGAATTATTTTTTCAAGACATTAGTCGAAATATACCAAAATATCTTGAAATACTTTGAAATATTTCAAAATAGTTGTGTAAATACGTTGAAGTATAATAGCATTTCGAAACATTATGGAATACGTCGAAGTATTAGAATTTTGATTTTATCACTGATTCGTTTCGGTCTCCTTGGAAACGGAAACGTTTCAGATGTTTTTAAACGATATATTGATCTTTGCTGATACCAAAAATGTAGGACGAAAATGATTAGAAATCAGAGAATAGAAAGAGAAAAAGAAAGAAGAGGGGGTGAAAGGAAATTATCTCATCCTTGTAAGAAATTGGTCAAGAAACACACAAAATTCTTTACAAAGAAATAAGTTTTATCATATCACTTTCACTCTAAGAAAAATAGTTTAGATTACATCATTATTTATATGCCATGTACTCTACTAAGATAAAAACTATTCTCCTGCTAAAATTCTAAAAGAGTTTCATAGTCAAACTTTTAAATTCATATATTACTAAAACTCTATAATAACTTCCTAATCAAACTTTAACTAATACTTCTAATCAAACAAATATTCCCTAACTAATGTAATAATAGTAAAACAAATAATAAAATTAAATTCTTCAATTTAAGCTTATCCAATACCTTTTCGATCTCTACCACCTTTCCCTGATCGTTAATGAACGCACAATCCCCTCTCATCATCCCCCGACTTCATAGATACCCTTTTTCCCACCCCTTTTTTGTAGACCCACCCATAAAGCCACAATCCCCTTTCCTTGCCCTCCCCCTCCCACGGAATCCACTCCGCCCCATCCTTGAATCCTAATTTGCAGGGGATTTGTTGACTGGGGAGAAATTCGAGTCTCTCTCTCTCTCTCTCTCTATATATCTATATATATATATATATATAATCACATTTAGAATGGGTGATGTAATTGTAGAATCTGGTGAATATTTTTTTAAGAGAGAGAACTACAAGAGAGATACATGTGAAATTTTTATCGGGTCGATTGAAGATGTAATTTGTTTGGTTCTGATTTAATTGTCAAACGAGAATTAAATTATAGTCAAGAATTTGATTTTCAGTTGTGGGTGGTTGTATTTTTGTGTTGGTTATGGTGTTGTGGGTGGTGATATGGGTGCACTGTTGGTGTATGCGAATGCTGCATTTGAGTAATGTGTCCCACGTCTGCTATGATTTGAAAAGCCGCTGACAGAGGGACCATTTAGAATCAAATGTTAGACTTTAGGGACACAGTTTGAACATTAGGGAGTAAAGAGCATATTTTAGGGACTACTATTGTATTCCACACCTAAAAAACAAGAAAAAGGTGTTGTTTCTCACTTGGGAAAGTTATTGGCTCAGGGCCCGCAGAGGCATACATCCAGGATCTGCTTTTATTTCATTTTACATGTCATTAAATAATTTTTCAATGTTTAGTGTGGACATCTTTGCGGCTCAGTTGAGTTTATTTCAATTTACCTGTCTTAATCGCTAGGCCTCAAGGGTATTGAAATTGGAGAGAAATAGTCTGGAGTATCTGCTGCAGCACTTTTGTGGGGTTACGGCTAACAAAGAGTAGGTTCAATCTGCAATTTCTAAATCTAAACATATTTGCTGCCTTTTATCAACCCCCCCTCACACACAAATTCTTCTTCTTTTTTTGCAGATACCAGAATGCAGACTGGAGATTACGTCCACTTCCAGATGAGATGCTTAGGTACATATGCCATTTGAATCATCATCCTTGCTTTCCTGCTTCATACCTATTTTTCCTTGTCTTGCATTTGTTTGGACGAGTTTCTCGAGTGGTATACAAAAATAATTCTTCATGTGAGATGGGGATCTAATCATCAATGAGTTAGGGAAATAATTTGGATTATTTACACCGATTAAGGGAAACATAACCTTAAGAGTATAGTAGAGAAGTGCTTAGAGAGATCTACAACAATTCTCGAAAGAAAGAGAAGACAGCACTTTGGAAATGATTTAGTTTACCATCAGGTCGTCACGTCTTTATGATTGTATTTTTGCTGCACCAAGGGAGCATTCATCAATTCAGCTGTGGTGCATTTATAGAAAGCGAAACTACTTCATTGTGACAATGACAGCTATTTATTCTTCTTTATATTAATTAACTGTCATCAATGTTGTGGCAGCAATAGTGGATTTTTACTCATGGTGGGTGCTTTAACTTTGTTTGACATGTTGAATTTATGTTTGATCAGTTAACTAGAAAGTTCTGCAGTTGTTTGTTGAGTCCTAGCCAATGCCTGTGCTTGCAGGCAATGCATAACAAAAAATTCTCAATTTACGTAAAATGAGATTCCATTAGAATTTTTTTTTCTTCTTAAATTTAAGGGGATAAAATTACTAATTTTAAGTGATATATACACAATGAATAAAGCGATAAATGAAAATTAAAAGAAATTGATTCACGAACACATGACTAAAATGATACCCAATTCGCTTCTTATAGTTTAATCCTGCTTCTTATAGTTTAATCCTACTTCACCAAAAATCACCACCCCAAACCCAACCACAATAACAATCAACAAATTTAGGATTCTATATTTAGTCTTCGAGTTTAAAAGATTAGGAATAGACCTCTCTGCAAATATAATTATGTAAAAGATAAAACAGCTACTTAACTGATTTCACTACCCTTTTATGCACATATCTCAGAAGAATAAAGCATAGGCATTTCCCCTAATCATTAGAATTTTTTGAAAGGGGACTGCGAGTTTCAAAACACCACTCAAAGCATTTTCTACACAAAAACAGGATTAAACCTGCCTTCATGTTAAAGAAGTGTATACATTAAACAGTACGGGAAAAACCTAGTGCATAAATTGATATAAACATATACCAATTCAAAAGAAAGTCATAATTTTGTTTCAACTACAGCATCAAACTACACCAAAATGTTTAAAATAACACCATGTAATAGCATTATCACTATATCCTAATAACAATTTTAATCAAATACTTCAGGTCCCAATCCCCAAACTCACAAACCCTTAACCGACCCCTATTCCATAACATATAAAAATAATTTGTATCCATATGTATGATCACCTTCAAGCTAGCTGGCATTGTGTGGCAAAAGGAACGTGACTTGTATATAAATAGCAAGAAAGTATATGTACTTATGTTTTGCAGAGTTGGAAAAAGCTATTGTTTCACTTTCCTAGTGACCACATGTACGTGTGAAAAGACAGAATTCACCGCAATAAAATGGAGTTATCTCAGTTGAAACATAACCTAATTATCAAGATATTTGTTTGTGTTGACAACAAGCAAAAAGATTGATCAAAAGGAGGGATTGAAGGATGGGTTCACATAGATAATGGAAAGGATTGATGGATGGAAACCAATTAACCAAAATAAAGACCCAATTATAATATTAAGATACCTTGCTACTTGTCATTTTTGAATTATAATTTTTCCTTAACATTTAATCTAGAAAGCACAGATACGGACACAAGTGTCGTATCTGATACAATACGGATATAGGGATACGACAAAATTCCAA